GACGGGGACGGGGCCGGGTCCCCCCCGTGTGTGCCGGGGAGCGGGGGTCCCCGCGGCGGGGCGCGGGCGGGTGGGTTTGCTGCCCAGTCAGGCCTCCCCTGCGCTTTATCAACCCTGACCAGCCTTTATTTTTAAGTGAGGGCGTTAAAAACCTTTTAAACCATTTAAATTATAAAAAAACCCCCCTCTCCTCTGGCAGTTTACGGCTGGGTGTGATTTTTGTCCTGTCGTGGGTTTATAGTGCCGGTTATTTCAAGTTCTTCCCGAACCACAGCGTATTTCTGCTCGGTTGTTTTGGCGTTTGGGCTTATCTCGTTAATGCGTTGTCTGGTTTTATTTTTGATCTGGGGTTGTTTTTACTGCACGGTTCGGTCGGTCTGTTCTTTTACTGGAAACTTTTCCTGATCTGATTCCGCTTCATCCAGCGGCTTCTTTCGGGCGCAGGGCTGCGTTTCTGTCGCCGGAGTCTCTAGCAGATGTCTGCCTCAGCTCGGTCCTGCTCGGCATCTGCTCGTTATTCCTGGGCTCCTGCTTTAAGTAATCCTCTTGTCCTTTCCCGAGTTAGCTGTCTGGCCCTCCGTTACCGAGGGAGGGGAGCCTGGCTTGTCTGTCGATGTTGCTCTTTTTCCCCTCCGAAGACCCCCGGCAGTTAACACAGTTTGTGCTTTTCTTTTTTGAGCCGCGTTCCCCCCGCGCAGCTCGCTCCAGAAGGATCTTAGAGAAAGGTACTGGGCGCCCTGGCTTTGTTTCTTTCTTCTCGGTCACTGAAGCTGAACTTCCAAGGGCAGATGCGATAGGACCGGGGCCAAACCTTGTTGTGATTGTGTCTGGGATCGTAGGATGCCGCAGGGACCCAGCTGCTGACCTTCCCCTCCGCTAACGCACCTTCCTCTCCCTCTCTCCGCAGGAAAGCGAGGATGGCATTGAAGGAGACGGTGAGTAATGACTCTCTCTGGCACTGCAACCGCTCTCTGCGTGCAAAAAGTGAAAACCAGACAAAATGCCCTTTCCAATAGTCCTGCAGTTGTTGTCATCCCAAATATTACCTCGTAATAGCAGGCAAACGCGGGGTGCAGGGACAGCGCGCCACAAACTCGCCCTTGCTTCCTCCTGTGTGAGCTGGCAATGGTATTAGGCGGGGACGCTTTGGTGCCGGCCTCTGACTTCCCCTTGGTGGGACTGTTCAGTGTGTGTTTGCCAGCAGTCGCCCGCAGCGCGGCGTGTTGCGCTCGGAGAGAAGCTGTGTTTCTGTTTCTGCCCTGACACCAAACTCCTTTTTCTCCCCCGCAGCTGTACTCTCAGATTACGAAAGCGCAGAAGACTCGGAGGTAAGAGGAGTCTCTGTCCTGGTGTTTAAAGGCTTCTGCCGAGTGACTGCATCTTGCATAATTTTAGCACAAAACACAGTTTGTCTCCTTTGTTCTCTTCCACTGACCCTGCTGGCAGTGATTGCCTTTGTCTTAAGATACCAGCTCGCGTGCTTCGCACCAGCCGTGCAGAGACTCGGAGCGAGCCGTGCTGCGGTGTAGTCATCGCCACTGCAGAGGAAAACGGTCTCTCCCAGTCTGAGCCCCTCGCCGGGCAGTTCCCTCGCGTACTGTCCACGGCGCTGGGCCCGGCCCTGCGGAGAAGCCGCCTGTGCTGCTGGGGGGTGGATGTAGGGCCTGTATGTGTGTGGGGGAAAAAACGCCTGGCTCCTCAGACGCTGGATGCCGGGAGCAGAATTTGCCCTGGCCAAGAGGAGCGTGGAAGGAAGTGCAGGATGCTGGTTGCATTTTAATTAGTGGAAATTAAAAACTAAGTGCTGGGTTGGAAGCATCCCAGGCAGCATCCCTGTCTCCCGTGTACGGCAGCTGGAGGGGTGACACACCCTGTGAGCGCTGGCAGCTCTGCGCTGGGTGTGTGCTGAGAAAATCCCGCCTCGCGTGCACTGAGACCCCCTGCCTGCGCCCGGGAGGCTGCCTGGGCAGCAACCTGCGGCGGTAGGTTTCCCTGGATTTTTAGTTCAGAACTGTAAGTTTAACATCTCGAGGAAGCGCAGAGGAGCTCTGGTTTCTAGTGATTACGATGAAGGTTTTCTAGTGAAAACCCTTCTCTTGAGACGGCTGTTTTGGGGATCTTGAGGGGGGCAGCAGTTAGAGAAAATGCAAAACAACAAGGCAGACGAAATCGAAGCTCGTAGGGGCTGTGAATTTGTGAATTAATCTCTGCCGTTAGCGAGGAAGGGGCGCGGCAGGCTGTAGAGGTGGTGCGTGGAGGGTGAGGGGCAGCTCCCCGTGTTCATCGTGCAGCAGCTCTTCAAGCCTGGAAACCTGCGCGGAGGCTCCCCGGAGGCTCGGGGCGCGTAGAAGCAGAGCAGCGCTGGTGCACGCCAGGCTGTTGGAGCAGCGGGGGTATTGCGTCACTGACATGCCAGGATGACTCTGTTCCTGTGCCTAAAAATAATGCCACGTCTGGGTTTCCCCAACGTAAACAAAAGGAGCAGTTGATGTGCAAATACGCTGTGTTGAAAGAGAAAAATAGAGCAGTCTTTTTGTTAATCACACAGAGCTATTTTTAGTGTCAGTTCCAGCCTAAGCAAGGCTTGCAGGCTCCTGGAGGGTGAAACGAGGTCACGCTCCTGCGAGCAGAGTGCTCCAAGTGAGTCAGCTGAGTAACTCCAGGGAATTTGGAAACACGGCACTGGCTGGATCCGGGCCCTCAGTGTGGGAAGGAAGGGATGGTCTGAGGGCCCTTGTTCGCTGGCCTCCCTGGCTTGCACGAGCCCTTCCCTTTCAGAGCGGTGAGAGGCTGTGGCTTTGTGGGGGAGCTGGTCCCGGCTCTGTTCTAGAAAGCCTGACTGTTGGATCTGATGTCGCTGGTGGGAGTTGGTGGGGAGAGGTGTTGGGTTTAGTCTTTGCTTCTTCCGTAAAAATAGAGAGATGGGAAGGACCTTGAGAGCTAATCCTCTGCTTTGAAAGAGTCAGGTCTCTTAACAACTGGAACAGGGATCGAACTGTTCCAGTTAGATCTGGGGACTTGTGTGGGGAAATTCCTGGGGGACCTGTTGCTGAAGGTGCGCGTTTGAGTAACTGGGGCTCTTGCAGGCAGAGGAAGAGGATTACAGCGAGGAAGAAAGTGCCAAAGTGGAACTGAAGCAGGATAGTAATGATTCCTGTGAGTCAGCAGCAAAAGCAGAGAAAGGGGATGAGAAACCTGACTCCAAAGGTGCTGTAACTGGTGAGAGGCAAAGCGGGGATGGGCAGGTAGGTGTTAAACATGCATTCTCCGGGCCGTGGGGGGCTTCTCGCAGAGGGACTGCTGCAGTGGTAAGATCTGTCTGATTTTGACAGGAGAGCACTGAACCTGTTGAGAATAAAGTTGGGAAAAAAGTTCCCAAGCACCTGGACGATGATGAGGATCGGAAGAACCCGGCTTACATCCCGCGCAAAGGGCTCTTCTTTGAGCACGACCTCCGAGGGCAGACGCAGGAGGAGGAGGTCAGGTATGTGAGCACCCCCCACGTGTCTGCCTCTCTCTGGGAGGGTGAGGCCGACTCGCAGGCCAGCGTTTGGCAGCACAGCTCCTTGCTTCAGTGTGAAGCGCTGGGAAGGCATCAGCAAGGAGGATTTGTCTGTGCTTCGGTCGCCTGCTTGCAGTGTCCTACCAGGAAGTTTTGGCTCTTTGTTTTGAAGGAGAGACTGAGGGTGGTGCAAAAAAAAAACCCACATGGAAAGCCTCTTGCCAATGAGCAGCGACCTTTCTTGCTGCTTTTCAGAAATAGCAGCGGGTAGACCAGCAGCTGCTGGGCAGGAAGAGTGGGAAGAAGAAGAGACGCTGTCTCCCGTGCACACCCTGCCCTAGAAATGCTTGATCTCTCTGTGTGGGGCTGCTTGAAGCTGCCGCATCTCCTTGGCTTTGCAACAACCTCTTGGTCCTCCCTGTGTAACTGTTGCAGGCCGAAGGGTCGTCAGCGGAAGCTGTGGAAGGATGAGGGCCGCTGGGAGCACGACAAATTCCGGGAGGACGAGCAGGCCCCCAAGACCAGGCAGGAGCTGATCGCGCTTTATGGCTATGACATCAGGTCAGCTCACAACCCCGATGACATCAAGCCGAGGAGGATGCGCAAACCAAGGTGAGCGGCAAAGTCAAACTAGAGCCTGGCTCGTCCCAGAGGGAAACCTCAGCCTTTGCGCCAGGCGCTTCAAACGACAGGTCTGAAGCCCCGAAGGGGGAAAGCCCTGTTGTTGGCTTTGGCCCCGGGGTGGGACCTTGGTCCTGGGAGTTCTGCGCGCTGCATACGGGAGAGGGGTTCCCTGGCACAGCAGCACCTCTCACCCGGGGATTTCTTTCCAGTCGTTTGTACTATTTCTCTCCCTCAGGTTTGGGAGTCCTCCTCAGCGAGACCCAAACTGGTCCAACGAGAGGCCAAACAAGCCCCCAAGGCACCAAGGCGCAGACAGCACTTCAGCTCCCCCGCGAACGTTCACCAACAGGAGCTCTGCAGGTACAGGGAGGATGCCCCCGCCTAGGAACTACCCGAGGATGGGCGGCTACAAAGAGACCCGTCCAAGCTACCGAGCTTCGGAAGCAAGCGTCCAGCATCTGTCTCGTAACGGCGAGCAAGCGAAACAGGAGAACAACTATCGAGCAAAGCGTGCAGAGCAAACCCCACCGAGAGACAAGTCACCCGAGGTGGAAGCGGCACACGTCCACGGCAGCCCTGTGAAGGAGGAGGTTGCTTTGGAAAACCAAGCCACGGCTGCTGATGCTGTGCAGCCACCACCAGACAGACCAATTGAAAAGAAGTCTTATTCCCGGGCAAGAAGGACCAGAATCAAAGCTGGGGATGCGGGGAAGCTGGCAGATGAAGTGCCCGCTTCGGAAGGGCTGACTCCTGTGCCTCCAAAACCCGTGCAAGCCGAGACGTCCCCCCCACCAGCCAAGAGCAGTAACTGGGAGTCACCAGTAGAATCCAGCTTGGATGGACTCGAGCAAGAGATGACCCAAATGAATCTCACTGAGCAGAACTGGACTCCGGGGCAGTCTCAGTTCATACAGCCCCGGGAGCTGAGGGGTAAGTGGGTGCAGCCTGTTGGTTTTCCACTGCAGCCCCAGCCAGATGCAATTCTGCATTCGTGTAGTCGGGTCAGAGCTGAATTGTCTCTGCCTTAGTCCAGTCTCGGGGTAGGTACGTGATGGCGACACGTGCTGCTGAGAAAGTGCAGTGGAGATGGTTAGAGGGGACAAAACAGAAGAGAAAAAGGGGAAATTCGGCATTCCGGTGTAGGTTAATTGAATTAGGGCTGGGAAGGATGTAAGAGTAGATCCTTTCCCTCTCTGCCCTGTTTTGGGTTGAGAACAGGGAAGCTTCAGTGAAGCTGAAGGCCTGTGTGTGGCACAGGCAACAGGGACTTTGTGCGGTGTGAATCATGGTGAGACCGGCTGCTGCAGCAGGAGTCAGAGTTCGGGAGATAAGGAGCATTGTGCTCGGTTGGCAGGTAAGGGTAATGAATAATCGGGCTCCTGCAGCGGAGCAGGAGGGAACTTTCCTCTGTTTATCAGCTTATTTCCTAGCATTGAGATTTGGTTGGCACTAGCTAAGGCCTGACCGGGACTGGCAAATTAATTTGTGCCTGGTAGGAGGAAGCTGCTCTGTTCGCAGCGGCAGGCAGGCCGGCCGAGGGAGGGATATGTGGCAGAGTTACCCCCGTGCGAGCTAAGGACCGAGTTCTAGTTGAGCATCCGTGGGAGAGGTCATTCAGGTATAATTATCTCTTTGCAGAATTAGAGTCTTTTCTGGGGAGCGTTAGAGTCCTTCCAGAGGGAAATAAAACTGGAGCAAGGAGAAGAAAGCGACTTGCTGCTTTCATAAGCATCTCTTGAGGTTTAGGTCATGAAACCATAAGTCTTGCAACTGATGTGACTGGTAAAATCTTTGTGTGAACAGACCCTTGGTTTCGACTGCGGATGCGAGTAGACAGGCTTTAAACACGCCAGTAGAATGAGAGTTCAGAAGTGCTGTGATTTGCAGCTGAGATTATGTACTCTTTTTTTTTTTTTTTTAATGCTTAAAAATAAAGCATCTTAACAAATTTACCATGAGACAGCTCTAGACTGCAGGTAGGAGACCACTTTCTGTCTGTAAGAAGGACGTATTACTCTACTGTCCCTTTGTTTCTTCTTGGCAGAGAAGGTAGGAGTTAATTCTGGGAGGCACTTGGCTGGATGAGCCAGCCATCAGGTCGTTCTGTATGTACAGCATGTATGCCTGTGCAGATATTTGCAGTATCAGTGATCCGTGGGCACTTTCAGTGTTTGTTTTGTCCACTTTCGCTCCCCTGGAATCGCCTGTGATCGGTTTGGCACTCTGGTTTTAAACGTGTGCCGTAACTTTGTTGTTTGAATTAAAAAGAGCCCGTGATAAAAGTGGTTACACCCCGTAGCGAGTTTAAACTGCAGCTTACCCGGTCCCACATGGATCCCTGTTTCTACTCTGAAGAGGTCCTTGTCTCCGCAGGAACAGAGCTCAGAGCAGGACCTAGATTTCAAGCTGAGGATTTTTTTTAGGCAAGATTTAAAAGGTGTTGAGCAGCGTGGATGATGGTACAGTGGCACAACAGCTTCTAATTTGTACTGAAATATTTAAAATTGTAACCTAAGAGATGAAGTTGTTAGAAAAGGTTTCTCGTCACTAAAGCGAGAGCTGTGCCTGTTTGCAGGACAATAACGTCCCCCGGCTGCCGGCGCTCATACGGCCAGCGACGGGCGCCTCCTGGCAGCGCCCTCGGCGGGTGAGGTGGCTCTTTACTGGGAACAAATGCAAACTGTAATAACCAGTTTGTTTCTTCCTCAGGTATTCCTAACCATATGCACGTGGGAACTGGGCCACCGCCTCAGTTTAACAGGATGGAGGAAATGGTAAAGCTCGCTGCACGGAGTGTGACTCTTGCTTTTAGAAGCGCGGAAGCCCAGCATTTATTCGTTTCTGGGTTGTAGTAATTAGAGGCTGCCTGTGACACCTCCCTTTTGTTGGTGTTCATAGTTAGAGGTTTGCAGGGGCTGGCGGGGGAGCGGGTCGGTGCTCCCTCGCTGGAGGGAGGGCCCCTGCTCCACGCGCTGACCCTCGCCGATGCCTTTGGACTCTTTCAGGCGGTGCAGGGGGGCCGCGTGAAACGCTACTCGTCGCAGCGGCAGAGACCGCCGGTGCCGGAGCCTGCCCCCCCCATGCACATCAGCATCATGGAAGGGCACTACTACGACCCACGTGAGTGTTTCCCTCCCGCTCCTGAGGTTCCGTGTGTGCTCAGACCCGAGCAGCTGGAGCAGGAGTCCCCCCACTCCTGTTAGGGTCGGGCAGATCGGGGGCTTTGTCTTCCCTTTCCTTTGTAAACGGCATCGCTGCGTCGTCTCGTACGGTAACTAAAAAGCTGCTCTGAGCCTCCCTGGTCGGCGTGTAAACCCACTGAAACACAATCAGTGTTACCGCCTGCCCTCCCTGTGCAAGGGCTCTCTAGGACACTGCTTTTCTTCATGAGAACTAGGATTTAACATGAACTTGAAATCAGAGCAACGTCTCTGACGTTTAAGAGCGGGGAGAATTACACAACAAGACTGAGGCTAGATTAGGAATTTACTCCAGCATTTAAAGTGTTGGAGAAGAAATTCCCCGAGTATTCTCCTGCTTTGTAAAGGGAGTAGGAGGCTTTTCTGTTGGGAGTACGTAGCATCTGTGAGCCTGGTAGACTGCGTGTGCCGACGGGAACGTAGCTTGCAGCACTGCGTTCAAGTGTTGTAACGGTAGCTGGCTGGGGTGTGCGTGTGACTTGCTGCAGTAGAATAAAATTCGGTGGAGCTTTTCCTTACCAACTGTCGTGTGTTGCAGTACAATTCCAGGGACCAATCTACACCCACAGTGAGAACCCGGCCCCGCTGCCGCCCCAAGGGATGATCGTACAGCCAGAAATGCACCTCCCTCATCCAGGTGAGGAACCAGCTCCCCAGCGGGGCACGGGGGCAGCTGGTACCGACGTTGCGGTTGTGCCCTGGGGCGGCTCAGCCTGTGCTGGGGAGCAAATAACTCTGGTTTCGCACAGCCTCTGTCGCCGGGGGAATCCATTTTCCCTATTTCTACAACATGGAAGAGACCTGCTTCCCTCATGCAGTGAGGCTGGATCAATATAAATGTTAAGGAAAGAAAACCAGACATTTCTGGCCCTTGCAGCCAGTGCAGGACCGAGATGATCTGAATGTTTTGGCAGCCTCTAGCAAGATGTCTGCAGGTTCTGTGCAGACCCTCCTGGCTGAGTCGCTTTCCCCTTCAGTGGGGCGCTTGGCTCTGCCAGCTGTTGTGCTAGGCTGGTTCTTCAGTCCCTGCTGCTTGTAGATCAGAAAAGAAAAGCAGAAATGAGAGCTGTTGAATTGGCATGTTCTCTATCTTGCCCACAAAAACTGTTTCCTGAAGTGGATGTGCTGACCGGGGCCGTGTCTGGTTCTGGTGAATCGGGACCCTGGCATCGGGGAGGGGGCCGTGCTCCGCTGTGCTGAGAAGCGCTTCCCTTTTTTTCCCTCCCCAGCGCAGGAGCTGAGGTCTCGTGGCTGCAGGAACAGCCTTTGAGCAAAGTGCTTCTCCTTCCTGCTGCAGCGGGGAAGGCGCAGCCGTGCTGACCTGCTGGCATCGTAGCAGCCCCAGCCCTCCGCGGGACGCGCTGGCTTTACACATGACATCACGTTCAGCTTGTTTTTGTTGCTTCCCAGGTTTACATCCCCACCAGACGCCAGCCCCCATAGCAAACCCGGGGCTGTACCCTCCGCCAGTCTCCATGCCCCCGGGCC